TTTAGAGCCCAGCAAGGGGCTCTACCCCTGGGACCTAGCAAGAGGCTACTGCCCTTTGGATCTCGCTACTGCGAGCTTCCGCCCCCGATCCCTCGCTATGAATTTGTAATATCGTTGAACGAGTGTGCACAACGGGCCTCCTAACTCGTTTGACAATGTCTATTCAAAATCTAAGTAAATCCAAACACATAAATATCCGATGATACTAAAATCACCAACAATTTGGATAGCTTAATCTTAGTGAAGCATGTGGAGCATCCGAGAATCTTTGAGAGCAGAAGATAGAAGTGCTCATAGAAAAGTTAAAGAACTTCAAAAATTCTCATGGAGAAAGTACATTTCACTAAATTAACACAAGAACTTAAATTAACACAAAACTATATATAAACACACACACACACACACATACATATACACACACACTACTCTCGAGTAATTAAATTTTATTTTGAAATACTCCCTCCGTTCCCATTTTGATCATAATTTTTTTTATTCTCCTCTCGACGTGATTTCATTAAGTATTTGATGATAAAATAAAATATTCTTGTCAACTTTTGTTTTGTAAAACTTTTGACATAATTTTTTAATATGTAATTTTTATTTCTTATTGATATACTGATTTGTAAATAAAATGAGATATTAGGGAGTACTATATATGGAGGAATTGACCATATTTTGATAGACAAATTTCAGTATATTCAATCATTCGCTTGCAATTTCAAACTCATAGTAGAAAAGGAAATTCAACTCCAATGATAAAGGGGATTAGACTTTTACAGTTTTACAATTATGCTCCATCATCATTTATTATTTCACATTAGACTAATGAACCACAAATGGTAAAAACAATTAGGTGGACTATATATTCCCTTCCTTTCAAGATAAAATGCATACTCTCATTCTAAAACATACTCCCTCCATCCCATAAATTAAGAGAGGGATAATTTTGTGTTGACTTTCCAAAATTACTCTTGATGTGATGGGTAAAAGTAGGATGTGATGTGTAGATTATTAGGAAAAAGGTATGAAGTGATAGGTAGGGTTTGAAAAAGTAAGGGGTAAAAGTGGTTTTTTAATAGAAATGGGTAAGGGATTGTGGGACACAATTTTTTTAAAACGTGTAAATCTTTTTGAGACGGAGGGAGTATTTCAAAAACTATTACTCCGTAAAAAATATGGTCGAAATTTATGTGAGAAAAAAAGTCAATAGATAAATTTATTTTGAAACATAGAAGTAAATGAAGAGGCTTGGAGTTATAAAAGAGTCAAATTTACCATAAATAGTATGATGTAGTACTTAAACTTTTTTATTCATTAAATAGTACTTGAATAACGTCTAGTGGTGAGAATAGTATCTAGTGATGGTGGACATTTAGTTTCAACAATGTCTAGTAGTGGTGGACATTTACTTGAAACCAGTAGACAATGACCAGTGGTTCTAAATTGGAAAATAAAAACATATAGTACTATATTGGTAAACACACGATATTTTAGTACTCGTAATATTTAGGTAAATTCTGGATAAAAAAGAAAGGAGCCCACAAGCAAAAAAAGCCAAAACCAAAAACCTCATTAACTCTCTATGAGATGTTACATGTCGCCTGCTCTGCATGTGTAGAGGTCCCTTTCCATTCCAGCTCCAAAGTCATTGAGAGTTGCAGCCCTCACATGAGCTGAAACAGTGACCTTTCAAAATAAACATTCCTCATCCATGGATGATTGGGTTTATTAATTAATGATGTTTTTCTTCCTGGGACCATGCTGTTTACCCTTAAATAGATTCCTGGATTAAAAAACATTTACCATACATGCATGCATATGTCCTTATTGTACTATACATACACCCATGGGTGGCCTAGAGTATAGTCACACGGTAAGCTTTGGTACGGGCACGAAATTCGCTAGAGGTGACGAGTTCGGCACGAGGGAGGTATGTTCATTTCGGTTGAGGCGGTACAATGTACCATGTATTCGGTTCGATGTACCAAAAGTCAAAACATAAGTAAACAAAAAATAGATCAGATGAAGCTAAGTACAATAGTACATAACATTACAAAATCCAATAGAAAAACAAGACTGTGTGTGTTTAACCGCTTCAAAAACAGGAATAACATTTCTGATTGTTCAAAAGCCTCAACTTCATCATCAACGTCAGCATAACTGTGTGTGTTGCTAATGTGGGTCTCACTATCATCTTGAGTATTATGGTATTTATTATTTTTGCCAAAAGACATTGATAAAATAGAGAAAACATAGAAAAAAGAGGAATAGAGGTTGGGTTGTGAGTGGTGAGAGTGTGCACTACTTTGTGTGTGTGTGTGTAATATTTAATTGTAAATTGAATTTTGAAATAAATATTAGAGTTACTTTTTTTAATAACACATTGAAAAGTGGAATACTCAATACGTGCGTGGGAAGTGGAAACTACTCAATTTGCATACGTCTGGGAACGATAAAGGCCCAATTTGAAGAGGGAAAGTTGAACTGGACATGTTTGCCATAACACCAGCAGTTGGTACGCCATTATTACCGATCTGGTGCGTCGTACCAAGGGGCTGGCCCGATTTCAGTTGGCTTTTGGTAAGTTGTACCAGCTCGATCTGGTACGGTGTACCACATCAAAGGGTACGCTTTACCGCCTACGATCATATCGCAATCGAATTGCGATTGGGTACACCGTGTACTAATACGGAAGTCGTAGCTTAGAGAGCGAATTTTGTGACTATGGCCTAGAGGGTATGATGTGTGAGGCGTGCACCTTCCCAAGGTTTTAAATATTTATAGTCCAGTATCATTAACAAATTAGCACTAATTGTTGGAGTTCCCACGTCGGGTAATAGAGAAGAATACCATTAGCATATATAGAAATGTGAAATCCTACCTATCAGCTTAAGCTTTTTTTTAAAAAAAAATAGTTGATCCTGACTTTATATGCAAGTGGATAATTTGACCCGATTATCTACCCATTATTCTCGGCTTGGTAGAATTTTAACATGGTATCAAAGGATTCGGAGCAGATCCGGCCCAGGCTCAATTGTTCCTGGTTGTTTGGATTTGGGTTTAGCAAAATAAGTTACCGGCCCGTAGTTTGAATTGAGTTGGCTATAAGAGAATGAGAAGTCACCCCCCGTTGTTGGGCTAACTAAAAGAGATTGAGATGTTAGACCTGTTTGTCCAATTGATAACTAGACCAGACTAGTTACCACTAGAGCGGAAGCATTGGATTTCCCAGATCTGGTAATAAAGAAGAATACCACTAGCATATATGTGTGTGTGTGTGAAGCCCTATCTATTAGTTTAAGCTTTTAGGCTAGAATAATGGATCTCGACTTTATAAGCAATTGGTTAATTTTATCCGACTTTATAGTACTTTCTTGCTATAAAAAACCAAAAGTATTTCAAGGTGGTATTAGTGTTTGCTTTGATCATGTGAAAAATCTAAGAAATTCAATTATTGACATAAATAATTCACCAATTCTAAAATTCAAATTCATTATGTATGGTGTGTATTTTATTTGAAAATTTTTTGTGCTTATAATATATGGAAACCTGAATAATAATGTTGCTAAATCCACCCCCAAAATGGCTATATCCACACCTTTTACCAATATTTGCTATATCCACACCCATTAATATAAAGTTTATATTGGTATGGATTTAGCAAATTTATATGAAAGGGGTGGATATAGCCATTTTTGGGGTGGATTTAGCATCACCCTAATAATAATAATAATAATAATAATAATAATAATAATAATAATAATAATAATAATAATAATAATAATAATAATAATAATAATAATAATAATAATATGTGTTGTTACTGCTAGTGATTGTGTAAGGGATGATATTGATGAGGTGAATGAAATATTCTGCGCTTTTGTTCACTAGCTCCGGCGGTGGCTGAGTCTGGCAGCGGTGTTGTCGGAGATCCACTAGGCATTGCAGTCACGGTGAGATCCGAGCTCCTCCGCTCTAACCATCCCTTTGAGTGTGATAACAACCCATGGCATGCTAGTGGTGGTCTAGAATTTGATCAGCAACTGTCCCCCTTTCTTGGCTTGATTTTTAATGCTACACCGGCCGTTGTGGATGGGAGCGGACTAGAGTTTCACCTTTTCAAAACCACAACCCCCAAATTTAATCTCAGTCATAAATTTTGTTTTCCTCCCGGATTTTCGTATGAGCCAAATGGATCCATATGAAAGTCATGGCTTTTTTGCTCGAGGTCCCACAGATGACGCCAAAATGATGGTGTAAATTATCGATCGGTATATCATTTTTAACTGGCAAAAACGATAAACTAGTCAAAAAATACACCAAAATATAAAAACAATGGTTTTGACGTGGAAACGCAAATCGGGAGAAAACCATGAGCTTTTTTGGCGGTACCTTGCCAATAGGGAATTAATAAACTTATATTACTGGAAAAAATATAAGGTGGGGTATTAATAAAAATATTATTATTAGTAGTAGTATTATATATGGAAATATGAATGCTCTTTCTTGGTATAAAAAACCAGTAGTATTTTATGGTGGGATATTAATAAAAATACTAATAATATTATTGACGAAAACATAAGGTCGGGCATTAATAAAAAACAATAATATTATTATTACTATTACTAAAATTAGTATTGGCATTATTATATATATGTAAATATGGAAATTAAACAAGAATGCCACTTCTTAGTATCCAAAATGAGTAGTATTTTTATTATACGGAGTATATGGAAAATTTATCATACATAAAAATTGAGTGTGGGACATTCTTGTGCATGTACTACCAAATTATACTTTCCTTCTGTATGAATTTAATCTTCTTATTTGATCTCCAATAATGTAACACTTTGATCACTAATATTTCTATTTATATATAGATACTCCGTATATTTTATAAAAAATTAATATTTCAAAACTACTTTTCAAAAAGAAACTAAGGCTACTTCAAAGAGATTCCCAGCTCAAAAACAAATCACATTTGCACTAACAAAGTAAAATAAGATGCACATATTTTAATACTCCCTACAATATACCAACAACGAAAAATTTGATAAAAATGTTGGCAATCCTCTTATTCATCTTGGCATATTCTTAGGCCAAGTTTTTCTGTTCTATCATCATAAGACAATACACATATTTAGCTTTAACCTCTAAATAAACAAAAAAAGCACATGATTATGGAGCAGCTCAGTGAAGAAGAAGCAATGGCACGAACCCAATAAGATGATTGGGCAGTAAACATTAAACACTCAAAGCCTTCTTCAACGTGTGCTTGAAGAAAATATACCTTAGGTCACAAATTGAGTCAGAATAGCTCCCCGGCTTCTAGTGAGAATTGCAGTACTGGCAGATACTGTGCGCCCCAAAAGACCAGGAGTTGAAGTTGAATCATGACGATTTGTGCCCTCCGTTGTGGAATATGCACTTTGAACAGGAGGATTGCCTCCACTGACCATTCCTACCACATCTGATATCCCGCGATGGATCTACAATTTTACGGGTTAAAAACTCTGGCCTTGTTGGATAACTAGAAGGTAATGGGTGCATATGGTTTACATTTGTGAGTCGATGTTGCAGGTTTAAGAATCGAAATCACCATTTATGTCCTTTTGGTTTGTAATTTGGCAAAAGAGAGATAATTGGTTCTGTTTTGGAAAACGGAAACCACCCTCTCCATGACTTTATCAAAATGAGATTCCAAAAACTACCCTACCCCGTGATTAGCGCACCATTTCTAGTGATTTTTTTCAGTCTTGTGATAGTAAAACAAGAATCAACTCTTTTAGAAAATGAGAACCAAAGCCACCGAGTAATACGTGAAGAATTAACGAATGATATCTACCTTTGCACCAGAGGAAGACGGAACAGCTCCATGCAGAGACTGCTGGAAGAAAAAAGCAAAGAAAAGTTTAAAATGGCAATATGACATGCATCACAGGGAATCAAGAACTTATGGTGCTTCTTAATCACACCATAAAAACAAAAAACTCCAATGAGTTTAACAGTGCACAATTCTTTCTACACATATGAGTTGCTCTCAGTTCTCTACAGTGATCATTTGATGTCCCTTTTCTACAGTAACCATTTGCATCATTTACCAGTAACACCAGCAAGGTTAACCCAATCATTAAGAACTGATGAATCATTCACTAACCTTTTGAAATCCATTAGAAGCAGATGGAGATGGAGATGGTTGTTCAACAGATGAATGAAGAGAGGACTCAATCTGGCAAAGACCAGGAAAAACATAACAGGGTAAATAATTTTCTTTTTTTTATACAACAGAAAGGAATAATAGATAATGATGAATATTTACACTATGCGCGGAGACAAGAAACTACTGTGTAATATAGTTTGAAATTGAGTCTAGATTTAGTTGATTTGCATTGTATGTACATTGTACACAACTGGTCCCTTTTCCTCATCAGCCAATTTTAAAGAGCATCTGTTTGGGGGACTGCAGACAGGATCACCTGTGCCACTGAGGTATAACCCTGGGTGTCCCAAATAATTATTTAAGCTATGAATAGACATTTAACAAATTGGAAATTAATGATTCATTTATAAAAGCACTCATAATTTTATATAAATAAAGTCTTGTTTTATACTAAAATTGTACTCTTGTGCTTGATCCTTGTAAAATTCCAAAAAAAAAAAATTAAAAAAATAATTATTTAAAATAATATGCTTCCTCTGTCCCAAATCAAAAGGCTAATTCTGCCAGAATTTTAAAAAAGTGTTAAAAATAAAAAATGTGTAGTTAGAATTGATTTGAAAGAGATGATGATAGCCACATATTCTTTACCAGAAAGGGAAATAAGACTTTATTTTTGGAGCAGACCAAAAAAGAACACACGTTTTCTTAGTTAGAACGTATGTTTTTAATTTTGGTATGGATGGAGTATAATATTGTGAGAATCATTACAAATAAATATATATATTCTAAACTTTTTGTTAATAACTTCTTGTAGTGTAAAAAAACTAAGTGACACAACCAAGGTTACACATAGTGCCACAGTTGCCTGAGGAAGCTTTATGATTTTTCAAGAATGCAAACTACCAACCAGCCTCCATAGTTATGGTAGAAGTAAATGATACTACGTAAAACATTAGTACAAGCATACAAGAAGCTTTGGAGTCACAGCTGGTAATTCAAGAGCAGGCTTAATTGAACTTGATGCAGATATCTGTGGAATTATGAAATGTAGTCAGTAGAAAATTCAACATGGCAAAAGAAAATATACTAGTAATGCAAAAAAAAGGTATGCCTCAATCTGTTCCATGGCTCTTCTATTTTCCAAATTTCTTGCATAAGCAACCAACTCTCCCACTCCAATGTTTGTCTCGCTCTACAAATCAAAACAACACAACCTTGGCTATTCGGCACCAGAAACTAATTGCATTGATAATAATGAAATTTGGCTGTTCAAATTTTACCTGTCTCCCTTCTATTCTACTAATTTTGTTCTCCTGTGGCACATAATAAATTCAATTAGTTTGCATACCAATGCACAAACAGAAATCACCAGTTCACCACAACTAGCACAAGGAAATGAAACTTCACACACAAAAATTACCAGATTCCGGACAACAGTGTTCATTGATTCGAGATCATTACCAAGTGAACTCACCTCCCCCCTAAATTCAAAAATCTAAAGGATAGGAAAAGGTTGTTTCAGTAACATAAAAATTCAAACCTTCAATTAAAAACAAGACAACAAGCTAAACATCATAGATCCTACCTCCTCTTTAATAGCAGCTGTATTGTCAGCACACTCATCTAATTTTGAATCAACGCGATCAATACGAGAAGATAAATGCCGTTTTGTTGCCTGGAATACATAACAAACCCTTACAGAGAGAAGATATTTGCATTTATAGTGCAACAAGCAATAGATCTACTCCAGATTGATGTAACCGACAAGAATTTAAAAATAAAAAAAGAGTATATTGTTTAGGTTCTTGCCATAGTTGTGAAAGGCATTCGCCTCACTCGCCTACGGGCTACCTAAGCGAGGCGAGGAGGCGAGACTATACCGCCCCTGGAAGCACAGGCCAGGCAAGTGACGGTGGGCAACACCTAGCGAACGCATATGATACCTCGGCGCAAGGCGGTAAAAGGCTACGCTCAAAGAAAATTTTACAAGCTGGGCCAATATAATAAAAATAAAACAAAAGCTAACCTATGTCTGACTAAATAAAATAATTTCTGAAAACCCTACCCAACCTTCGTACCACAGAAACCAAGCATCGTCAAGACGTCAACTGATCCAAATCTCATCTCATATGAAACTCCCCAAGGAACGAATCATGTTTTTGAAATATCAAAGCTCTCTATTGAAAGATTGCCGGTCTTCACTCCTTCAAGACAGTCTTGCCCAAGTCCACTCATGACGATTCATGTTATTTATTGTTATCTGTGCTATTTTTACTTTTTTAACTTACCAAATTCCAATAACTGTGTGTCTATTTTATCTTCTTTACGAATATAGTACCATTCTGCAAGTGTTTACTTTTTTACGGTCTGATTTTTCAACTTTTTTATCTTCTTTCAGATGACTCTAAACAGAATCTACTTTTTTTACTGTCTGAGTTTTATTCTCTTTCTTCACTTCATTAATTTGTGTACTTAGGTATTTCACAATTAATATAATTTCTATAACAGTTCTCCACAAATGGAAACCAAATCATCAAGCAATGTATTTCAATAATCATACTTTATATATAAAATGTATGGATTATACACACACACCGGCCGCCTCATGCCTTGAAAAAAGTCATCTTGCATTTAAAAACTATGCTTGATACTAGAGATAAATAATTAATTGGTTTCGATACAAAATTTTGGAGCATTACTCAATACTGTAAAGGACTGTATACAAAAACTTTTTGAGTAAATTATGTAGAAATCTACATAAGCAGTAAAGCAAGTGATAAAAGAAAAGTAATATCTCTGTAGTTTTTAAAAGTATATTTTCCCAACATCATGAAACTAGCTTTGAAACCTAGCTCTACATGAAAAAGCATTTTTATATATTTAACCAATATAAAGGTCATGTAGGTATGCACATTTGTTTTGTGTACAAGAAATGGTGATATCAAGCAGAAATAAACTTGCCGAAATTGATGTGTAAACCCCCTCAAGCTGTGTGGACACACTATTGCAGGCATCATTTAAACCACGTCTGGTTGCAAACATCAAATCAGGAAGCTTCCAACCCTGCAAAATTAAAGTTGGTTTCAGAACAGCACCATATATGAAAATGCTTAACAGAGAAAAATCTTGAAATGGAAACAATAATAACAGAAATAGACAGAGATTTTACATTAATATCAGCCATGTTTAGTTGCAAATCCAAATAATGTTATGAACAATTGTCAACGTTTATCATCTAAAAATAATGCTTGCAGCACAACTAGCAAAGTAAGCTAAAATAGAAGTGTGTACATTCAACAAATGGTAACATTAAACTGATAGGTACTCTGTATTAAAATGAATATGGGAGATAAAGCTCTAGAACCAACCCAGCCTATTAAAACAGCAATTTCTGCAAACCTATCCATGCACTCCCTCCGTCCCAAATCAAGGTTCCACATTTGACCGGGCACGATTATTAAGTAATGTGTACAACCCAGTTGGATCCCACAAGAGTAGAGTCTGGGGAAGGTGTGTGTGCGCAGACCTTACCCCTACTCGAAAGTAGAGAGACGAAATGTGTATTTTGGACAAATTAAAAAATGTGGAACTTTTTTCCGGAACGAAGGGGGTATAACATGGGAAAATTACATTATCACTTGCCAGAACAACAACAATATTACTCCACTGCCTCAAAGGCTCTTGCGCATTGTGGGGTAGGGGGGGGTCGGACGTTCGCAGCTTGACCCCTATGTTTAATACATAGAGCGGCTGTTTCCAAATGACCCATGATGAGCATCGAAAGTTGCATTGACTAACTGCTAGTTCACTATAAAGAAGCGCATACAGTTTAAAGAGTCATTTTGTTGTATTTCATCATATGCCAAGCCAAACCAGTCAAAAGAAACATGTCAAATATGCCACATTTCATAATAATTACGGAGTACGTCCTAGCAGGAAGCGTCAATAAATTTTGACAAAAATAATATCCATGACTTTAAAAAATGAGGAATGTAAATATCTAGAATGGATTCAAGACATTATGGAAGATGCAACACCATATGAATCATCATAGGCAGATGAAAAATGAGATTCATAACTGTGCATATTCCCACTGGACACCAAACATTAACAAAGAAACGTTATCAACAAAAAGGTTGGAGAGATCACCTTCCACCAAATATATCCATATCCAACCACCAAAACACAAATGATAAAGCCATATTTACCACTTGAACCTGCAAAGAGTTTTTGAAATTTAAAGCAAATTGTAGAGTAATAGATATTCTTCTCAACAGGAATACTGCAATTAAAGTAAGCAGGGTCTTGGTTATGATCACAAAACTAAGAATGTCACTACCATTTACAAGTGCATGCAATGATGACATGAAATTGTTTAGATGTTTCTTGTGTTGATAAACAGCACCAACAGCTTAAACATCAGTAACTTATTATGAATACAGCTTTCAAAACTGATAGCAAGCCACTCATCACTTATTACAGGAGAACGAAAAACCATAAAAATGGGATATTCTGTGGAACATAATGAACATGCTGCACATGATCTTGGCCAAATGTTGCCTAATGGAATATTCTATGGGACAAGAACCATATTTCAGCTGCTACTTGTATTCTACTGTATTCTAACGCTCTTCTATTGTTTATCTGTTACCTTTTGTTCCCATAAATACTACTCCCTCTGTCCAAAAATTTATTTCTCGGTTTGACTTGGCACGGAGAAAGAAAGTAGAAGAGCATTGCCCTTGATGTGATGGAATAAAATGAATAGTGTAGATAAAAAGTAGGGGTATGATGGTATATTCATTAAAAGTTTTTTGCCAAAAGAGGAAACGGGAAAAAATTTTCGGACAGCCCAAAAAGGAAAGTGAGAAAGAAATTAATGGACGGATGGAGTATGTATTTTGCTCAGCTTAAGGGCAAGGATTTCAGTATTAAGTTGCACTTGTAAACAAAGCTTTGTCCTATCCAAATGGACCATTATCCTTCCACTCAAATAAATCAGTGTGTGTTCATTATATTTCATATTCTACTTCATAAGCCACTCTATCATTTGGTATAATGGTATCAGAGCCTTATCTGGTCCACCCTGGTCAATGATAGAACTACATCACTACACAACCAACCCAATCCTCCCCCTTCATCTCACCGAGTACCCAATCCCCAACATTGATGAGCTTCTTGATGAACTCCATGGAGCAACCATTTTTTCTAACATAGACCTCAAATCTTGTTACCACCAAATTTGAATGAACCCTGCTGATATCCATAAAACAGCTTTTCGAACACATTCCAAAGTTATGCATTTTTTTTCATGCCATTTGGCCTTACAAATGCTCCCTCCACATTCCAATCTGTTGTGAATGATTTGTTCCAACTTCCAACCTTACCTCCAAAAGTTTATCTTGGTTTTCTTCAATGACATTTTGGTGTCCAACACAAATCTGGAAGATCATTTAACTCACCTGCAACATGCTCTTGGGTGCCTGCCGGCACATGTATTCCTTGCCATCTAAAAGAAATGCCACTTTGGACAGAAACAAATTCAGTTTTTGGGACATGTAATCTTAGGAGATGGATGGACTGTTTATCACAGATAAAGTTCGAGTAGGTATGGAGTGGCCGAAACCCTGCAACTTCAAAGATCTGCATGGTTTTCTAGGTTTGACTTTTGACAGGTCACTATCGCCGCTTTTTTTTTAAAAAAAAATATGGACTGATTGCAAGGCCATTGACGGAGTTGACCTAGAAAAACAGATTTCACTCAAATGCACAAGCCAAATCAACATTTCAACGGTTGAAAACTGTGTTGACTTCACTACCAGTTCCGAAATTGCCGGATTTCCATCAACCTTTCAGTAAAATGTGACGCATCTTCAGCAGGGGTGGGAGCCATGCTACAATCAGAATATCCAATTTCATATTTTAGTAAGGGTTTCTCTCCATCTAGTTGTCTTAAATCTGCTTACAACATAGAATCATTTGAACTGGTCTTAGCTTTACAGACCTGGAAGCATTATTTACTAGGACACCATTTCGTTGTCCGAACTTGCATGTGACAACACCCGAGCAACGACTTCCCACAAAGTTATTACCCTTTGAATTCACAATCACCTACAAAAGGGAAAAGACAACCTTGGAGCTGATGCCTTATCCCGGAGACCATAAAATGCTGAACTTTTGGGCCTTGCTCTTCCTGTTAACAAGGATTCCATAAACCTCCAAGAGGTTTTGCTTCAAGATTCATACACCAAAGACATCATCAGTGCACTCGAGAAGAACCCGTGTAGCCATCTTGATTTTTGTCTAGCCAGCAATAAGCTGTCTATTGGGGGCGGTTGGCAATTTCTGAACTATCTACCCTGAACACACACACAAAAACTCGGAGAATGCCACGCCTCATAATCAGGTGCCCGCAGAAGTTATCTCAAGACTTTGGAATGAATGTCATCAAACTTCTATTGGGCACATTTGAAGTGTGGATGTTAGACACTACACTCAAAAATCAAAATAGCTCGACTTGTCAACAAAATAAGTATGACACATTAGCTCCCGCTGCACTTCTTCAGCCACTACCGACTCTGGAACGTGTTTGTGAGGATATATCACTTGGTTTTGTCTCCAGTGGTTGACAGGTTCAGCAAGTACAGTAAACTTCTTCTACTTTCTCATCCTTTTACAGCTAAGAAGTGGCTAATGTATTTTGATGGGAAGCGGTCAAATGACATGGGATCCGACTCTCTATCCTTTCAGATCAAGATCCTATTTTTCTAAGTAACTTTTGGTAGGAATTATTCCATTTGAGTGAAACTTGTGTCCAAATGGGCACTGCCTACCATCCACGATTTGATGAACAAACAGAAATTGTTAAGTGTTGCCTCAAAGCACATTTGAGGTGTTTTGCGCATGAGACACCATCCAGTGGGAGCAAAGGTGTCCCTTGGGCTGAAAACTCATTCAACACCGGGTTTCATATGTCCACAGGAACCACACCATTCAATATTCTTTATGGACGTGACCCACCAACACTACATCCATGTATCCCAGCAGAAACCCAAAATGCTGATTTGGTGGAACAATTAAACGTGAGAGATGCAATACTGAAACTATTATGTGAAAATTTTCTCAAGGCACAACTTCGCATGAAAGCACATGTTGATACCAATAGACGAGAGGTGACCTATGAAGTTGGGGATGCTGTTTTTGTGTGCGAGTAGAGCGATTCCAACAACGATGGTTGACAAAACAAAGATATGAAAAGCTATCTACCTGTTATTTTGGCCCCTACACGACTGTCGGACATATGGGGTCAGTAGCCTATGAGTTAGCCATTCCAGAAGTGAGAAGACACAAAGATATATCCTGTTTTCCATGTTTCCATGTTGCTTCCAGCACATGGCAGGGTTTCCCCTGTTCCTCCAGCCCCTTTGCCATTTGATAATGAGTGGGAGCTTGAATTGCACCCAGATAAAGTTCAAACTTATCGTTGGAGTTCTCAATCTGAGTGTCCTACACTAGGAATACTAATAAAGTGGCAGGATGACCAATTGATGAAATAACATGGAAGATTATGATTTGCTTGCCGGTCGATTTCCATTGTTTCACCTTGAGTACAAGTTGCATTACCAGCGGGGGAGTACTGACGGCAAGCCACTCATCACTTATTCCAGGAGAAAGAAAAAACATAATAATGGGACATACTGAGGAACATAATCCACATGCTACACATGATCCTGGTCAAATGTTGCCTGATGGAATATTCTAAGGGACAAGATCCATATTTTCAGCTGCTACCTGTTTTCTATTTTGTCTCTTATTTCTTTCCATAAGGGCAGAGATTTCAGTATCAAGTTACACTTGTAAATGGAGCCTTGTTCTCTCCAAAGGGGCTATTATTGTTCCACAGTCCTCAAATAAATCAGTGTTTTCATTATATTCCATATTCCATTTCATAAGCCACTCTATCAAAGGCGAACAGCAATATCCTTGAGGGGTGGTTTATGACATGGTGATCTAATAATACATGTGTGGTAGCTATATTTTTTAGGGCTCAAGACTCAGAAATGTACATGCAGATGCATGAAACTAGTTGCTTTAATAGACAACTTGCACATACCTGAACCACCCGTAGTAACAATAGTTACAGATCTATTTTGTGCCAAGAGTTGCAGCTCCTCTTGCAAGCTCTTAACCTGTAATGGTAAATTTATGTATTCAGACCCTACAACTAAAACACTAATGAGTGACAACAATATCCATTGGAAGTTCCTAAGCAGAAATTAGCCAGAGCAGTTCAATAACAACTCACTTTAATATCATACTTCTCCTGAGAAACAAATTGCTCTGTCTTATCCCTATTTAATGTTTTCACTAGCTTTTTGTACAGAGTTTGAGTGGAGATTTATGCATATTAGAGGAAAGTAGTATGGAGTATGATGCACAAAATTATTTCATTAAATGGAAATAAGAACATTATTTAGGGACAACTCAAAAAAGGGAAGTGGGAAGATAAAAAAGGACTGAGGAAGTATTAAACGACCACCACAAAGAAAATCAGATCCACCTTTTCCCCCTTGTTTTTTTTGGGTTGACCACTTTCCCAATGGAAAAGTTTCACCATATCACACATCATTTGGCGCCTTTCATGAGCCATGCTTCCAAGTTCCAACCGTGATAAAATTCCATACTTACAGATCAATGAACACTGCTAGAGTGCTAGAATAACTCCCACATGCCAAATGTCAAGCAAATGGCATCCTTAACTGTGTTGAGACTTTGAAAATGTGGCCTCTCATCATAGAGCCATTTTTACATATAGAAACTATTTCAAAACCTAGTCTTTCCTCTAAGAGGATTATCTTGGTAAAAGTCTTCATCACATGAGGGACCAAATGTGTATAAACTGACAAAACTCGAGAACAAATTAAACTATGCATCATGTGACCATGGTTGTTAAGTCGACAAGTCGAGTCGAGTCGGTGACAGGGAGACTAGTGGACTAGGCGACTAGTCGTAGACTAGTCGTAGACTAGGCGACAAATCACAATTAGTATTAAAATTTTTAACATTATATATATCTATATTAACCCAATATGAATATATATATATTTATTTATTTATATGTCAAAACACCATAACCAAAGCAAACTTATGTTTAAAGATAGCACATAAAACCACTTAACAAAGAGTACATAACAAACAAATATCCTTCAATCTTTAAAAATAACACACCAAGAAAGATAATTAACCAAATAAGAAGTCAAAGGACATATTGAAATAGTTAATTCCATGTTTTGAGTTATCAAAAAATTGAAATAAAAAAAAAATTGAAATATTAAACTAAAAAAAACTGAAATACTAGAAAATTGAAAATTTTAAAGTATACTTTATAGTTTAATGAACCAGATCAATGAAAATTAAATCAAATACAGTATACTTTAATGATAACAAAGTAAAAGAAATCTCACGGAGAGTCGCTGCTGAGGGCTGATGGAGGAGAATCGATGGAGGAGAGTCGCTCGCTGGAAGTCGCGGAAGTCACCCTGGAACGGGAAGCCTAGAGTCGCGAACCTCCAGACTGCCGATTGGGTTGGGTCGGGTCGGGTCAATTGAATTAGGTCAAAATCGGCCCATTTTGTTCACCGATTAGGCGTCGCCTAATCGCGGCTAAGCGTCGCTAAGCGCGCTTAATAGCCTAGTCGGCCATAGGCGCTAGTCGTACAGCAAATCTCCATGGCAAAACCGCCCGGACGACTAGTCGGCGACTAGTCGTGGCCTAGGCGACGACTTGACAACCATGCATGTGACACATTTTGTATTTTACAAGAGATCGATAACTAAGGGGCCAAAATAATGTTTTTATCCCTGTTTTTGCATTGGTCCTTGATCATACTATAAACAAATTAAGGAGTATATATATGTACGTCTAACTTTATGGTAAAATAGTACAACTTCAAGACCACACTTTGCATAATACAACAAATTTAAAACCTTTACTTTCAGAGAGACAGGCCCCAAAGATATATGCTAATGCACTAACATCACTTTTCATTTAACAATTAGAAAAAAAACATACATGAAAGCACTTAGCAAACCTGCTGCAGCAAAGCATTGCTATGAGGCTTCGTATTTGAATTTTTTGAATTATCTTGCTTGAGTTGCCTCAATAGGATCTGCAACAAAAGAAAATAGTAAGCTGCTAAACAAAATTTACTCAATAGTATAAATTTACTCGGCAATCAACATAAAAGTTAACTTTGAAGCAGTTATGCGTGTTTAATAAAGAAATAGCAATCACACCTTAAAGGCACCTGAGATATAACCGCTGGCACTTGATTCTTTACTAAGCGCTGACACCACAACGCCTGCAAAAGTGCACTTGATTCAGGCTTTAGCATATTAAAGTCAAAAGCTAATGATAACATTGCTATAGAAATGATAATATTAGTTGAAAGAAACTCCATGTGAAAACTGCAAGGCTTAAAGAAATGAATTACCGATTACTTAAATCTGAATTCATGAAGGTTCAAGTAAGAACAAGTTAGAAGTAGGCACACAAATGATGATATAACCTTTATTATTTTCTTTTCTGAACCGTGTAAAAATCAAGAGGTTCAAAGCAAATAAGATCATCTAGTTGCCACACCCAAATCATCTGGGAAATTTTTTTGACAAGAAACAATGACCTAACAGACCTGCAGTGTTCTTTAACTTGATCTATATCTTAAGTAACACAATCCACCTTTCAAGCTATGTATGAGTTTCTAACTGTACAAACTTAGAGCACTGGAAGGTGTTGAAGCATGTAAAATTTTCTAGTGTTCTAGCCATGTGTGGAGTCTTCTAGAGTCTTATGGATGAAATGGAAGAGTATATACTACAAACAAGCAAGGGAGAACATAGGAGTGTAGCAATTCCATGAAAATCTCAAGAAAGTAGAGACCTGTGTGGAACAATCTAGGGAACTAATCTTCCACTTGGACCAAAGTAATCATCAACGTTCATAACCGAGATGGAGTAATATGAACGGCGGAGGGCTCCATTCCTAATCATGCATAACAAGATAAGCCACTTTGTAGGGTGAGAGAAATCCAACTACATAGAGAGCTAGAGAACCTCTTTGAGATAGTAGTTCAATAGCTTGAAGACTCAAAATCCTCAAGTTGGGGTTAGGCACCAAAATGTGAGACAACTTTGTTAAGTATAGATTGTACTTGGAGATACTACTATTCTATTGTAGTGGGAAAACCTCCAGCTTGGAGTACTGTTAATTTTGGTGCTCCTGTTACTATCTTAAATTTTAAAGTGTCTATCTCGACTTCAAGAACCGGGAAAGCCTAGCCCTTGCTTGGGAAGGGCGTTTTCGATTGTTGTTAGCATTTTGGATAAACTTTTAATGGTGTAGATTAACTTTGAAAATGCTAAAGCTAAATGCTGCCGTTTTTCAAAATGCTAATCTTACTTCTAATGTTGTTCCCAAACATGCCCCTAGCTTTCCCACCACCATAAAAACCAAAATAGAAACTTGCAAAATTTGGAACGCTTATAGTTCAAAATAAATAATCTACTAGAACCAGTCCGGATGCTCCAATGAAGAAAATCCAAACTCGTGCTACAGATAATACTGTAACTTGTAGCACTAACCAAAGGGTTTATTTAAAAAACCCTAAAATTCCCTAGTGGGTAAAGTAAACCAAATTACAGAATTAACACGCATATTGATATAAAAAAATTATAGCTACAAGTAGCATACGCATAGGTGAGGTCGTGAGGATATGGATGAACTGACCTGTACCGATGAGGAATGCGACCTTGCCGAGAGGAAGCGCCATGGGAGGCGATGGCTGTATCAATTACGCAAAACGGCGAATCTTTTGTATAGAAAGGGTGGGGTGGAAGTCGGTGAGTCCAAGGAGCCACACTGGTTTTTTGCCGCGCAGTCAATCAAAAATTTTCACATTCTGAATTTCTGATGAAGATGAAGACTTGCCCATAAAGAAAGGGAAGACGAAATTGGGGTAAAGTTGTGGAGTCGCGTTAACATGACCCTCCCTCCGTCCCAAATTATAATGCATGTTTACTATTCACATGGTCAAACTTTATTCACTTTCTTTCTCTATTTTCGTTAGCAATTTGATAAAATAAAATATTCTTGTCACTACTAGTTTTGTAGATCTTTTGATGTAGTTTTTTAATATGTAATTTTTATTTTTTAATTCTATACCATTTGTCATATAAAATGGTTTAAAAATAATTTCAGTCAAACATCGTAAACCGAAACAGGCATTATAAAATGAGACGGAGGTAGTAACAAATAGTGTTCATACACAAAAACTCAGTAACAAATAGTGCTGGATCGTGCTACAGATCTACACCACATATTTATCAATACACATTCTTCACCCACCCTTTAATTTTAATTTTCTTGCTTCCCTACCATATGTTTATGTAGAGGGCATGATTGGTAGGAAGAGTGGGGTTTTTAGCATTTTCCAATAGTGTTTGTGTTGTATGGGGTCATATTTAAGAGTTGTGCTAAGATAACATCATACTTTCTTTATCTTAAAAAAATATCACATTTTTTATAACAAAATACACATATTATTAATCACTCAAACATCACCAAGTCTACAGCAGATTACAAACAAACACAATTGAACAAATTTATAATTTTGACCAAGTTTATAATTAATAAAAGCCTTTATTTGAGTTTCAATTCAGTTGTAGCTCTCTTCTACAGAGGTATCTTCTTGCTTCTTAGTCTTCATATTCATTTTCCTCCACACTGTGTAACAGATTGATGTAAAAGTTGCTATCCTTATATGCTTGATCTTTCTCCCTTTGATCTTCTGGCCGGAAAGATTCTTGCAGTTCCTAGCTTGTCATTCCCTGCATTCCGGTTGATTTGGATCCATCTGCAAATTTCATTTTGAATCCCCTTAGTACACTTACATGCATAAAAAAGTATTTCTTGTCTTCTGAATCACTAGAGCAAAGAACACAAGAGATTAAATTTCATATACTTGTTAAGTCCGGCTTTAGTAAGAACTAGTATTTCTACCCGTGCCACGCACGGGTTCGGACGAAATTTTTTTCGATTCTACAATAAGGAATATTAAAATGACTTTGTTTTTTTATGAGACATATCATTTAGACATCAAATATAAATGATCTAGGTTTATTGAATTTATATAAATCTATAATTTTAATTCCCGTATAAATTAAAAAAATACAAAATATAGTAGTGATTTTATGAATCTTTTCCCAGCATAAATTTTAAAAAGCTTGAATTGCCGATCTTATGATTCTACAATTAAAGAACATGATTTTTCTCCCTCGCATTAATTGAGATTAGCGAAAAAATGATTCCCCCCACCCCCGCATTGAATACAAAAAATAATTCATCTCTACTGCATTATTTATAAATTAAATATTGGATTAACGATCCTATGACTCTACTATTAAAAATATTCATTTGAAAAAAAATTAAAATACAACAATTGTTCTCCCCCGCATCAATTTTGAAAAAAAATATTAATAAAAAAGTAAGAAAATAACCAAAATAGAATCTTTATGTTTTAACTGCAAAATAAGAATTATAATATCAATAAGGCCAACATATAATACAAAAATTGCAATGAAACGTCAATATACATTGTCACATTATATTGCAATAGTACCATTTTGTAGATAAAAACATGTTAATCTTATTTTGTAATATTTTTTACATCTATTTTTGGTTGATTTCTGAAGGGAAATTTACAAAAACTATTACTATTTTTTATTCTTTTGATTATTTTTTGTTTTAAAATGCAAAATCATTCAAACGCATAGTAGCATTCTGATCAATACAAATTGTTCTTACAAAATATAAATAGTTGCAAATTGGAAATTATATTTCTCTTTGATGTGCTTTGTATCCAAGTTTTGATCTTATTCGTTTTTGCACCTTGGATCTTCTCCGCACTTTTTCTTGCTTTATTTATTGTCTTTACACTCATCTTCATTGTCACAGACCTTCTAGCACTCACCTCCGCATCTTGATGTTCCTTATCACAATTTTTTTTGCATACATCTGTGTCATCTCTCTCTGTCTTATAAAACACTATCGTATGTCGTTTCTATGTACAATGCAAATGAAAGTGTAGGAATGAAGCGAGTCCCCTCTCATTCAAATATTCTTATCTTCATGCATAAATATAGTGAATACTTACACAATATAAATTTATAAATATTAAGTTACACCTTAGGAAAATGGTAAGTTAAAGTACAAACTTATTTTGATTAAAATAGTAAATCGAATTACCAACATAAAATACAAAATTCATATTAAATATTTATTTGATTTAAATACTTGATTATTTTAAATAGTAGTCAAAGCATTTCTTGTTTTATATAAATTTAAAATAGAGATTAAAATATATTTTTTGTTTTACATCAATGTTTAAATAAATAGAGTAAAAACTATCTTCATTTTGGCATATCATAAAAAATATGAAACTTACTCAAAGTATTATTATAAATGAAGTAAAAAATATAATATTAAGAAATAATACTCTAATAAAAATGAAGATCTCTATTCCATATTTAAAATTTGGCAATGATGGTGAAACAGTAAGGAATGCTTGTGTAAACATAAGAAGTCATGGTGACACATTTGTTTCTAAATTGTATTCAATAATATAAATAAAATTATCATATACTGATAAATAGTTAAAAATAATGTATTGTTTTCTCTATTTTTATATACTCGATCAAATGAGCACCAATGGTAGTTAAATCATACCATAAACTTTATATACTTGATCAAATGATCAAATTATATATAGTACTGTTTTCTCTATTGAACACTTTTATTGTTCAATCATCCCTTATTTTAATTCATACTTTCCCCGTTTCAAAGTATATTTCCTATTCGAGCGACGTGCAAAATCTCGTGAATTTTCAATGATTTTGTTTACAAATTGGTATATAAAATAAAAAAATAAAATATTTAAAAATTATATCAAAGGTTCTATAAAATAAGAGGTGAGAGGTGAAGAAATGTTTTATTTTATCAAATGATCAATGAAAACATGCAAACTAACAAAAGTTATTCAGATGGTGCAATAATAAAGAGGTAAATTATTTTGAGAGAGAGCGAGTTAAATTTTATTATAGTTTTTAAAATATTTTACTTTTTAAATTTTACATCAATATTTAAATAATAAAATCAAAACTAACTTCATTTAAACATCTCATAAAGAAATATGAAATTTATTAAGAGGTGAAGAGAGTATCTAATTTATTATTTTGAAATTTTGTTATAAATGAAGAGAAAAAAAACATAAATTAGGAAAGAATATTATCATATAAATGAAGATATTTTTTCCATAACAAATTTACTCATTGATTTCAAACCAAACTATTACTTTATTATTTTCCATGTCACAAATTGTATGGCATATTAAGTTTCAAAAAACGCCACATAAACAATATATACAACATGTCAACTTTCTAGAGATTTAAATCTTATTTATATATATAAAGGATATCTAAGTCATACAATTTGAATTTAGCTATAAATTTTTGTGTGAAAAATTGTAATTATAATTCATCTTTTACATTTTTAAAATAAAATCGTTAACAATTCCAGTAAAGTTCAGTTGTAAAATAAATGTGATTTTTTAGTTTTAAAGAATAAAAGTGTTTTTGTGAAACATATCGAATGTGAATATACATTTTTTATTTTTGAAAATAAATTTATTTTATTCTTTTTATAAATTGAATCTATTTTATCTACGTGTTTTTAAACTCTTTTGTTTGAAGTCATGATATTTTTGTGTTTTATAATTTTAATTATTTCAGTCTATTTATAATCGATTATTGATGTTAGAATAATCCATGAACTTGAATAATCTAAACTATTATCGATATAGAAAAATAAAATGTATCCAAATCTATACAACTCCATTTAGAGTTAAAATCACTCATGTGATAAGAAAAGACCATTTTGGAAAATATCAAATTAGAAAAGACTACGTACGTAATTATTTCTTATTGAGAACTGATTTGGAAAATACCTTAGTAGAAAGAACTAATTTGAAAATTTACTCAATTTCTTTTTTTTAACTTAGTTTTAGTTATATTAGATGAGTCATTTTTAAGCTAAATTCAATTCAGTTATGTACACATTTTTTGTTAAATTACAACCATATTTATGCTAAATAAATTCACAAATAACAAATAGTGTTTGTGTTGTATGGGGTCATATTTAAGAGTTGTGCCAGGATAACATAATAGTTTCTTTATCTTAAAAAAATATCACAATTTTTTATAACAAAATACACATATTATTAATCACTCAAACATCACCAAGTCTACAGCAGATTACAAACAAACATGATCGAACAAGTTTATAATTTTGACCAAGTTTATAATTAATAAAAGCCTTTATTTGAGTTTCAATTCAGTAGAGGTATCTTCTTGCTTTTTAGTCTTCATATTCATTTCCCTCCACACTGTGTAACATATTGATGTAAAAGTTGCTATCCCTATCTGCTTGGTCTTCCTCCCTTTGATCTTCTGGCCGGAAAGATTCTTGCAGTTCCTAGCTTGTCATTCCCTGCAGTTCCTAGCTTGTCATTCGTTGCAGACCTGGGGACTAGGGGAGTTTTAAAATATTCTGCTTTGGAACCCCGAAGAAAATTCCTACAAATGCCTTGGATTTTATGCAACACCTTGTTTGGGAAGATAAACAACCTACACCAGAAAGAGATCACACCAAAAAACACAGTGCTGATAAGCTTGCATCTCTCTGCATATGACAAATTTTTAGGAGCTCCTAAGTATCTAAAGAGTAGCTTCCCTTTATCCATATTAGCCAAACACAATATCTCCTCAACCTCTTAATTTTTAATGGAGAATTTACCTAAATAGGACTAAAATATAATGACTTTTCAATATGGTCCATATGTTTTTATTTCTCAATGTAAGACCATTGATCATTATCAATTAGTCATTATTCAATTAAATGTCCACCATCACTAGACATTATTCCTTTTACTAGACATTATTAAATCCTATTTAGGGAATAAAAAAACTAAATCATATTTTGGGAAATGATATATGTTTTAGTTCTATTTAGTGCAAATTTTTCATTTTTAATCCCTCCAATAATGATCAAGGCATTCAAGTATGATCTTAACTGATTCCTCCCACAATCAAATGATCAGCGAATGCTAAATTAGTGATATGAAGATTCCTACACATCAGGTGATATTTAAATCTGCTCCTATTAACAAAAACTTTCAAGACTCTTGTTAAGTATTCCATTACTATTGTGAATCTAAGGGGGGACATATGGTCATCCTGAAAAATATCATAGAATACTATTTAATTTATTTATTTTAATTGATCATTTGATAAAATAAAATATTTTTGTCATCTCTTATTTAAAAAAAATTAAGTAACTTTTAAATATGTAAATTTTATTTTTTATTTCTATACCCATCATTAAATAAAATGAATGAAAAAATTTTGATATCTCACTTTGTTTTACGTAATGTGACAAACGTTTTAGTAAAGAGTAAGTATTTTTATCTCATACTTGACCTTATGCATGTTTTACCAAGGCCAGTCATGGGAATTCAATGGTCTGGACCGAGATAGAAAAAAGGTCTTAGAAGACTTAGAGGCTGTTTGGCAACTTCTGAATAGGTAAGTGTTGAACCAGTAAGAGGTATGAACCATTAAGTGCTGAACCAGTAAGAGGCCTGAACCATTAAGAGCTAGTATATTGCTTAACTATTCAGAGGCAAATGTCTGATCAATTCAGATAAGAGGTCTTAACCATTCAGATTCTGTATAATACTTAACCATTCAGAGGCAAATCTCTTAACCATTCAGATATCTGAACCATTAAGAGGCTGAAACAAATAGTCTGAACCATTAAGTGCTGAACCATTCAGACATCTAAACCATTAAGAGGCTGAAACAAACAGCCCCTTAACCTTAATGTCTTAACAAATTAAAGTATATAAAATAATTGTATTTAAATGGCAATTAATATAATTGTATAATACACTCTAAAAAAATAAGTAAATGACATACAAACTATAGCTAAGGGTTTATATAAACTTACCTTCCTAAACCAATGTCTTGAAAATTGGATTAGACATCAACCCAAACAAGCTAGTGCGTAAAGAGTTAATCGGTCAATTCGAGGATTAACGTCCCGATTAACTATAATTAAAAGAATAATATTTTATATTATATTATTAGATATTTTTAATTAATAAAGAATTTTAATTTGTGTTTTTTCACACTTCCATTTAATTTTCAATATTATTTTGCATATGCTATCACATTTTCTATTTTCTATTTGTATTATTTTATATTACTATCAAAGATAACTTATGAATATCTAATAAGTACTAAAATAATAAGACAATACTCATATTTAATATAAGTAAATGCTAGGTAATACGTTTTTATATAATACTCTATAGCCTGTATTAGACACCTTAACTTATATATATGTTGATTGGAACACGAAAAACTAGAAGAAAATAATAATTGTAATCTATTAAATTATGATCAATAAATATTTTTTAATTTTTATTGATGAAAAAATAATTAGGTACTCTATTTTTTTCTTTGAAAAAAATTATTTTTTAGGTATAAGCATTCATTTTAATTTTTAGATAAAACATTATTAATTTTATTTATTTACTTTTTGAATACTTTTATAAGTTCATTAAATAAGTATATCAGATAGTACTTGTGTTTCTTTTTCTATGTAATTAAAAGTTTTGTTAAAATCAATACAATAAATATATATCTTATTACGTGACTAATTTAAGAATAAGTTTATTGGCCAAATCGCGCCGGTACCCCTCATGGTTTGCAAAACAAGCACCAATACCCCCTCTGTTTTCAAAACTCATTTTTAAAGTCCCCGTGGTTTCAAAATGCTGCACCCGTGCCCCCTCTGATCATTTTCCGGCCATTTTTCCGGCGAGGAGGGGGATATTGGTGCATGTTTTTTAAACCATAGGGGGTATCAGTGCTGATTTTTATTTCTTTCATATTTTTTGTTTTTTCCATTTTTTTCCATTTTTTCCTTTTTTATTTCATTTATTAATAAAGATTTTTTTATAATGTTTCTTAAAATTTAAAGTTACTTTTGTTAGAAAAAATTAAGATATAATGCATATGTACGTCTCAAATTAACAATTTTTGTTTTTTCTGAAAAAAAGTAAATTTCTTTTGAGACTTCAAGAAATGAGAAATAAAATAAGAAACAAAATAATACAAAAATAAAAATGAATATCCTTTTTGGACATGTTAATTCTAAGGACTTTTTTAGGCGTGTCTAATTTTTTTGTATAAGACTTCTTTTGCATATTTTAATTTTTTTCATTTTGTTTTTCCATATTTTTATTTTTTTATTCTGGGTTTTTTTGAACTTTTCAAAAAATTATTCTAAGTAACCGAAGGTGAAAATGTTTAATTTGATATAGATTTAATGTATGTTAATTTTTTTATTTTTATTTTTATTTCAAACACAAATTTTAAAATTTTTGAAACATTATAAAAAATTGAAAATATATTTTTAAAAAAATCTAGGAAAAGGAAAAAGAGATAGAAGATATTTTAAAAAAGGGAAGAATAATAAAAGAAAATAAGAAATGAGCATGAATGCCCCCCGTGATTTAGAAATTATGCGCCAATGCCCCCTATTCGCCGGAAAATGGCCGGAAAATGATCGGAGGGGGTGTGGGTGCAACGTTTTGAAACCACAAGGATTTTAGAAGTAATTTTTGAAAATAGAGGGGGTATTGGTGCCAATTTTCCAAAGCACAGGGGGCATGGAAGCTATTTGGCCTAAGTTTATTAGCTAAAGTGGATGGAATATCTCCTAACAGGCTAACACCCTGAAATACTCAAGTTCGGAGCTCACTTTAAACGATTGGGATATAATTTTTTATGAATGAATAACATGCATACACAAAAAATTCGGGCCCTGAAAATATGACACCTAGTCCTATTTACCTGTTCGACCCTCCCTTGGGTTAGCCCTGTGTAAGAATGTGAGAACTTTCTTGAGTAAAATACTATGAAAATACTAAAATAGAAGTTCTATATCTTTTAGACCAAAATAGTTTACATTGTTATTGTTACACTGTCATACTCACCACATTGTCACATTACAACTACCACACTACCATATGCCTGCCACCAAAGCACCAAATCACCGACAGTTGAGAGATGAGTGATAACATAACTATATAACATTGTCATTACCTTTCCATCACACTAGTAACACATTGCTAAAGAAAAGTGAGTCTCAACTCCTTTTTCTCTCTCCTAGTTGCATCCCAATTTACTTTTTTTTTGCATTGGAAACCAACTGTTGAGAAAAATTACACTCTCAAATAACAACACAAGACTCAAAATATTATGAAATGAATAAAATATGTGCAGAAAAATTAAAAGAGCAAGACACTATTTTTTACGTGGAACCCCTCTCAATTAGGGGAAAACTACGATCCGTTTGGATAAAACTTTTCACTATAATATCAATTAGCATACAACAACCACAACACCAAAACAATAATTGATATTCTCTCCTTAAAACAACTCACCCTATGGCTAGTGTTACACGTCTACACTCACATTTTTAAGAAGGGAGTGCTGCTTCATTTATATATTAAGAAACACACACACAAAGAATAAAATGAACAAGCAAATATACTCCATACCATAAGATAAGAGATATAAGAGATAAATCAATTCCTTTCAAACAAGAAAGTAAGGAAGTGGGCCTCCTTCACATGCATATTTGCATGATAATTTTCCATTCTTTGAATTTCCTTTATTTTCTTCTTTTCACTCTTATCTTATCACCTTTATTAATTTACTTATTTATTTTATACACACACACACTCCCTCCGTCCCACTCTCTTTGTCCACTTACCTTTTGGCACACCATCTAATGCACTTCTTTAATCCATGTTATCTTGTAATTTACTCCCTCCGTCCCACTATATTTGTCCACTTTCATTTTTGCACACCATCCAATACACTTTTTTAATTCATTTTATCTTGTAATTTGTATATAAAAAAATTATAGAAATTATATATTAATAATCTATATGTTAAGACAAATCAAACAAGATCATGCATGACTATATTTAGGCTTACACATTGAGAGAATTTGATGAGTCAAAGTGCTTAGATGAACAGTTCCAAAAGTCAAAAGTGGACGAATATAGCGGGACGGAGGAAGTATATATTAAAAAATTATATATTAATAATCTATATGTTAAGACAAATCAAATAAGATCACACATGACTATATTTAGGCTTACACATTGAGAGAATTTGATGAGTCAAAGTGTTTAGATGAACAGTTCTAAAAGTCAAAAGTGGACAAAGAGAGTAGGACGGAGGTAGTATTATTTTCTAATTACTAAAGAATAAAATAAACTCCAGCATAATTAATATTTGGTAATTGGGGAGATACCCTAACAAATCCTCCCTCAACCCAATTGACCAAATACTTCAACCTCGTCTAAGAAACAGACCTTTTTTGCAATCATGCATTTTTTTAGTCCATGCACTCTCAACATAACAAAGATTGTTCTCTGCTTTCTTTCCCTCTAACACAAGGTTTGCACCACTTTTTAATACCGACGTACTTGCAACCTTGAGTAGTTAGCTCGCTTAAAGATATTAAATTTGTTTGAGCATCTGGCACATATATCACGTTGTAAAATGTTCTTGTGACACTGCTATGAAGCTTTAACTTGACTGTGCCCATGCCCTTCATAGGCATCTTTTATCTTTCTCCCATGTTGATGTGCCCTTATTCTCTGTCTTGACAAAGTTTGTCAAAACTAGAATCTACTTTACATATATGAACGGAGGCTGTTGAGTCCAACACCCATTTTTCTTTGCCTTCCTTCAAGTCATCTTGACTTGCCAAGAACATTTACCATCATCGCTGTCACCATCTATTACCACATATGAAGAACCCTCGCCATCTTTCTTCGACTTTCCCTTTGTCTTCTGGGCCCTTCAAAAAGCTTTCAAGTCATCTCTCATCATCTGGCAACAATTTTAAATTTGTCCCCTTTCACCATAATAGTAATACTCCACATTACTAAAATTTCTACTAGGCTTAGATTTGGATCTTTCCTTGGGGACATCTCTTTTTCTCTCTTGGTTCCTCCCTCTCTCTGCACCAAGCACAACCAACACTTAAGCGTCATCTGATGAACGAAGATCATCTCATGACATCATCCTCTCATTCTCTCTTAAAACCGCCATTGCCTCATCTAGACTAATCTTTGTCCTTATGACAAAAAGAGTCTGTACAATAGGTTGGTATGTCTTTGGGGGCGATGCTAACAACAATAGAGCTTGCTCTTGATCTGATATCTTTTCATCAGCATTTTTCAATTGACATACTAGTTGATTAAAAATTTGATATGCTCCTGCAAAAGTGTACTACTTTCCATTCGTAGTTGGTACAACTCCCACCTTAGACAAAGAATATTTGTCAATGATTTTGATGCATCATCTAAATTCTGTTGAACCAACAAATCTTCAATGGTACTCTTCCATATCATAAAATTCATTTTCCCATCAAACAAAGGAATTTGAAATTTTTGGGAACTATATGTCATTTTTTTTGACACAATATACTTAATTCCCTCACTCACAAAGGCAATTTTCCCTCAAACAACTATCATAGCTCCGATACCAATTGTTGAGAAAAATTATCCTCTCAAATAACATCACAACACTCAAAATATTATGGAAGGAATAAATTATGTGCAGAAAAATTAAAAGAGCAAGACACAATATTTTTTTACGTGGAACCCCTCTCAATTAGGGAAAAACATGATCCTTTTGGATTAAAATTCACTATAATATCAATTGGAGTACAACAAACACAACACCAAAACAACAATAATTGATATTCTCTCCTCAAAACTCACCCTATGGCTAGTGCTACACATCTACACTCACATTTTTAAGAAGGGAGTGTTGCTTCCTGTTTATATTAAGAAACACACACACAAAGAATAAAATAAATAAAGCAGGTATACTCCGTACCATAAGATAAGAGATTTAAGGGATAAATCAATTCCTTTCAAACAAGAAAGTAAGGAAGTGGGCCTCCTTCACATGCATGATTACATGATAGTATTCCATTCTTTGAATTCCCTTTATTTTCTTCTTTTCACTCTTATCTTGTCACCTTTATTTATTTACGGAGTACTTATTTATTTTATTATAGATATTTTATTTTATTTTCTAATTACTAAAAATAAAATAAACTCCGACATAATTAATATTTGGTAATTGGGGGATACCCTAACACCAACTTCGTACAAGGGACGGTCCCTACGGACATGGTCATCAACTCATCGCATTTTCCTCACTTCTTGTTTAATTCCTTTCTTTTTCCCCTTTTGTATTTTTTATTTTCTGTTTATCATTATTATATCACAATTAGTGTTGGGACATTGGAGTTAAAAATGGTGAGACTAAGCATTGGAGAGAAAAATATCTAGTCCCTACTTTTTTTATGGGGCATGAGAGAGAGACACCTTCTTGGGATCTAAGTGAGTCCCGCCATTTAACATTCTCTTACATCATACTGTCAATATTATACTCCTATTTTGATTTTAAAAAACTAAAAACTCCTATTTTAGTATTTATAATATTTTTTACTTCTATACATGGAAACTTGTTTCAAGTAATACTCCTATCTTGCAATATTAGTTTGCCTTTTTTATTTGTCTTATAAGAATATTCTATTGTTATTTTTCTTTGATCCATTACCAATTTCAGGATTTTACTTTTTTTAATCTATGTATCCGGCCAAATGTAAAACATTAATGTCGGACGAAAGAAATATAGAATAATTTCAACTGAGTACAACTGTACAATGGAAAAAATTAGACCTAGGAGTCATACTTATGGTATTCTAAGTTTGACTTCATTTTTGGAATCATGCATTTACAGACAAACAAAGAGTATTGTTACGTGTATGTGATGCCTCCAAAAATATTAATGTCAAAAATAAGATCACACCCATTGGACAATGTGCTATAATGAATGTATATATTTGCAATGACCTTTGCCCATTGTCTTTTAGGTTTTAATAATGACAAAAAGGTGACAAAAGATCCCAATATCCCAAAATTAACTTTTCATTTTCAATTTTTGGTTGTCCCGAAATCAACAACCTATTGGTCCTATTTCCCTTTTTTACCATTCCTCCTTTTACTCTGAAATAAAAATGCGTACATGTTTAGCCTCAACAACTTACACACTCCATCCATCTCAAAGTGAAGTTTACGGTTTGACTTATGGAAGTTTAAGAAAAGTATTGAAAAATAAAAGGTAGAAATATAAATGATAAAGAGAAACCTTGAGAAAGAGGAGAGATAAGAAAAAGTTAGAGAAAGAAATTTTATTTCTTAATTTTAAGATAGTGAAATTTATTTTGGGAGAACACGAAAGGAAATAAATCTCACAGAGAGTATGACCTTAATAGATCAAAAAAGGTAGACAAGAACATTTATATAATTCTCTTATCACTTTTAATCTTCGTGCCATTTTCACATGGCAAGGTGCACGCTTTTGGAGACAGTTTAATAAACAATTATGAACAAAGAAGTACTGAGGCAGACACCAACCTGGGGAACAAATTGTTTTCACAGCCTCCAGATTTCCCTGATGAACGTATAATTGCTGGAAACTGCAGCTAATGCATTGATACTTCAGTGAAATGGTGGTTTTAACACAGGTTATGTTAGAGAAGATGAGAAGGCAACTCCAGAAGAGGGTTAAAAGCTGGTGAACTTTGTTATTTTGACTCTAGAAGGGTTCTAAATTGTTAACAACTATCATGTTCACCTCATACTTGTCCTTGAAAAAGTTGGACCCCCTTAATCGACAAGTATGTTTATGATCATGTTAAATACCATGCAAGAGGCAGAAAACTGATTTCAAGGGCACAACACAAATATCGCTTAAAAATACCTTAGTAGTAAACTTACTCCCTTGAGTAGAAAAAGACCAACGCTCTCTGCTTCCTGACATCAGTGGACTCTTGCACGGAACGTGAACATTGAAGAAAACAATAATGTGAGCAATAATTTCCAAATGTAGTTCAAAATATATTTTTTACAGAAGTTGCATCAGTTACAATATGGAGATCGAGAAAGGAGAGTTTCAAGAGAAAGGTAACATGAAATAGTTGGACCTTTGTATAGAATTGCAGCTAAGGACAATCACAAATCCTCACAGAATGATAAAATCATCTATGTCCCTGGCAAAGGATGATGAAATTAGTTCTTCACAATAGATTGCCTGCAAAACATCAACTGCGGCACCTATAGTGTGAATCATCTGCCAATACAAATGGGTCTTATGCACCAGTCCCGTAACACAGTCAATGGATGAAAAGTAACAACACTCTACCATGAATATTTGATCCAGATCCTTCATAGTTCCTAGTATGCACCTCAGAATCATTGCAGAAAACATAAACAGACATAACTGCAATCTAATACTGGATCCCAAATGCATTTTCTCAAGTGTTATCATCTTCCCGAATGAAGCCAAATACCTGTTCAATTACACTTTGGGAGGAAATGTAGGTAAGAACTCTTTTGACTTTGGGAGAGGACACTCATGGAACCAAGCATGATTGAGAGCATCATCCGCTGTTATCCTCTGCAAAAGTAACATAAACTTCTATTAGAGGGAAAAAGCAAGGTGTAATTAAAAAAACAATGAGTAATGAGCTGAATTATTAAAGTGGTAGCATAGCCTTTGTATACCTTCTCGGGATTGTAGGAAAGAAGCCGGTTTAGCAGGTCCAATCCAGTATCAGAAAGAACTGCAGACCCTGTAAAAGATGCTACAGGGAACTTTTTACGTAACAAATTATGCCTGGTAGAATAAAACAAGTAAAATTAGTATATATAAAAACAAGAGCAAAGCGATATCAATACGAAGAGAACATGCAACAAAAGAATAAATGATAATGATACTAAAAAAGAACAATTATACAGGCAGATTCTTACTTTTGCCTGGAATAATTGGCCTTGGCCCCTGGTAATTCAGAAAACCCAGGCCAAATCTTCTCATTGGGAGTACCAAGCATATCAAATATCTGCAACCATCAAGGGGAAACATTAGAACATAAAATAAAACCTAAAAATGAATTTAAAAGCTGGGTGCTGGGAGTTTTAAAAGAAAACTGATTACCTTTTTTATCTGATCGATTTCACTTGTCCCTCTGAACAAGGGTTCCTTAGCTAAAAGCTCAGCCATTATACACCCCACAGACCACATGTCAATTGCTGTTGAATACGTCTTTGCCCCAAATAGAAGCTCGGGTGCTCTGCAACACAAAAATTTCCAGAAATTATAAGCTTGGAAATAAAAGATAATGGCAAATTAAAAAAAGGTATGGCAGCTACAAAACTGTTTTTCATAGAACACAACTCACCTATACCACTGAGTAACCACGTTGGTGGTGTATGGCTTTAGAGGGCTTCCATACTGTCGTGCCATACCAAAGTCGCAGATTTTCAGGTCACCTTGGTTGTTCAAGAGAAGATTTGATGTTTTCAAATCCCTATGGAGCACCCAATTATTGTGAAGATATTTGACACCCTCCAATAACTGTAACATCAAGCATTTCACATCACTTGTGCTAAAAGGCTGTTTCATGGACTCCATGAGCCCCTTAAAGTCATGTTCCATGTACTCCATAACAATGTAAACATTACCATGGTCATCTACGACAACTTCTTTAACTTTTACAATTGAAGGGTGGTTGAAAGATGCAAGAATGTTAATTTCCCTCAACGATGTCAAAGGGAAGCCATATTCCTCTGCATCTCTTTGATTTAGAAGCTTTACCTTCTTAAGGGCCACAATTTCTCCGGTCTTCTTATCCCTAGCTCTGTAAACAATACCATAAGTACCTTCGCTAATTTTGTTCAGCCTTTCATAATCAAAAACACTTCTGCAACATCTTCCTGTTGGCTCTTCAGCATCTGAATTTGACTCATCAGCAACATCCTCCTTATCCATGCTATCAAACTCCATAACAGAATCATAGTCAGCCTTAAATTCCATATCTTCACAAGTAGACAAGCCACTGACGCTTCGTTCATTAGAATGGTTTGAGACCACGCAGTCCCCTTCCAAGTCCTCAATTTTAAATTCGCCACTTTCGAGACTTGAACTCCTACAATTTTTCTCGCTTTGGACCACATCTTCATCATCGCTATCAGATGCCCAACGTGATGTGAGTAAGTTAGGCGCTTGAACAACTTCCCCTGCTAAAACTTGTTCCAGCTGAACATCCTGAAATTGCGGAGGAGACAGTGTGGGAGATAAATCAACATCAGAAACTGGAGACAACAGAGTGGTAGATGATGACAAAACCCTGTTCCTAGATGAAACCCTTACTTGCTTCCCTTTTATGCCACATTCAATATGAGAAGACTTCCTCTTCTTCTGAGGGGGCTGTTTATCCCCATCATTCAAAGCCCATGTTCTACCTTCCTTCAAAGACACATCTAACTCACATCGTCTCGGATCCAATTCACACCGATTGTTCTTCTGGGAAGCCAAGCGGTGCCTGCTAGATGGAAAATTATATCCATTCTCATCTGGAAGAGCATGACTCTGACCCGGATTCAATCTCCCAACATCACTTCTCCTAAAGACATCAACCCGGGCTGCCGCCATATCAATCAATAACAACAACCACAACCCTTCTCAATTAATAAATTCAGACTAAAAAAAGAACGATAGGAACGAAATCCCCAATCAAACACAAAGCACAAATCAACTCAAATTCCTCAAACGGAAAACCCTAGATCTACGAAAAACAGTTACAAATGCAATAAAGAAAACCAGACGAAAAGGGCCACAAACAAGACTCCTTAATCCAGATATGGCAATCAATTCAATCAGAGACAAAAGCGGCAATAGCCGAATTCAGAGAGATTCGATTCCTCCTTCCGCGGATCTGATCAGACATAACCTCGACAATATCAGAGGCAATTGAAGATCTTACCAGCGAGAACGGAGAAGAACAGCCACGGAAACAACGCGCAAAAACGCCCGAGTACGAGAATCTCTTTGTACGTTTAACAACTTGTCCTTGCGGCGGTGCGACTTCGATCTACTCGTAGTCTTATTCTTATATGGACACGGCTCTACAAGCAAACCTGGCAAAGAATCAGACCGAATGACGAGAATCAAAAGCCGAACCAAAATAGAAGATTTGAATAGTGCGTTGCCCCAAAAGGCTTGACCACATTTGGAGGATTCCATTTTGTACACTATTCATCATAGCCCTTCATTTATTTTTTTATTTTTAATTTTTTTTCCTCTCAATTGCATTGTGTGGTGGAGATAGAGAAGGTACAATGGGATATCCCAAATGGTGCACCCCTAGCATTTTTGAACCAAAAATCATGATCCAAATTGAATTATAACTAGGGGTCGTTCTGTAAGACTTACTCATTACTTATTTTTATTAAAATCAAATTGGATCAAATTTGGAAAAAAATTATAAAAATAATATTTATATTTTTTCAAAATTAAATAAAAATTACCATTCAGTTAAATTATATTACTTTATCTAAAGCTACACACCTAAATATTACTGCCTCCATCATAAAATGTTCTAAAAAGAAAATTTTAGATTGAAGAAAGTAATTAAAATTATAACTTTGAATATGTTTATTATTATTATATTTATTATTATTATATGAACTACAAACCATTATTACTAATAATTACTTAGCTTATATAAATGATGCATGAAAGCAATATTAAGACTTAAAAAGTTATATTTTTCGTATATTCAAAGAGTTGTTTTAAAATACTTATTTATAGAAAAAAATTTGTTTATATAAAAGAATTATACAAAACGTAATTTTTAAAACCATAAATACTTTTATACTTAAAAATACTTATTTTTAAATTTAAAAATATTTAATATACACAAGGGTATATTTAGGACAAAATTAGTTATTGTGAATGATTTTCTTATTTTATTTTTTTCTATACATACATACATACATACACACACACACACACACACACATATATATGAATTGTAATACTTTAAAATAATCAAATTTCTTGTAATAATTATAAGTTTAATTTAAATCAAATTTTTGTAACGCCCCAACCCGCGTAACCCGAACCAACGAGTTAGCGAATCGGGTTGCTACAAATTTGATATTCACATGCATACTATTTTAAAAACATTTAAAATAAAACATCCAATCACATTTACTAAAAATCAAATCATCGTTTAATTGGAGTAACAAGATCCAAACGTTGCGAAAGCCTTTAAAACAATATCCAACATCCTTATAATTTAAATAAACAAATTTATCAAAATATAACTAATTTAAAATAAGCAGCTTCAGGCCATCCACCGGCGTCATGCCTCACTGTCCTCCAGGTTGCTCCTCGTTTAATCCTTGATCTCTACCTGTAAAAATAGGGAGAGTGGAAATATCTAATGCTAGAACCAACTCATAGACTAACATCCTTTAACATATAATAATACGTTATTGTTTCTAATTTTACGAAACATGTTTCATCACCGATCATGTGTTTACTAGCACCATTATCAATAACTTAAGAGGTGTTAGGCATACCTGAAAATTTATTTTCAATACCCGATTATTTGTCATTTAGGGGTCCCATAAGAGCATTCCATTGATTAGTTGTGAGACACGAGATATTCGGATTCGTAGCTCCTCGCCCTCCTTCTGCCATGTTGGACTAAGCCGTCAATGCCACCGGACCGCCACCTTAGTTTCTATTGCCACAGCAGGCGTTGCCCCCCTACCGCCAAGGCGTCCTCTAAAGTCGCCACCACAATTCATTCCACGCCCTGGGTTTAAAACACGTGGGCGATCTCCCCACCATTCTGAATATATAACAAGTTGAAAACAACCACTCTTCTCATGTCCATTTAGCCCACCGTGCTTGCAATTCAATTCCTTATTTGCTTCATGATCAAATCTAGAAGCAATAGCGAAAGTCACTGGATTTTGTTCTTCTTGTGTGATTTTCAAGACGCCCTCTTACTCGATGATGGTTGAGTAGACATGATTCGTTGGTGTCAGGGTTCAGTGTTAGCCTTGGTTTGCTAAGTCTCATGTTTTGATGTTAACAAACAATATAAGAGCTTAACGTTTGTTTAAGTGTTTCAGGAAAACAAGAATCCATTAAGATTCGGTACTCAAGAATGAAGTCGAAACACTAAAACTAGCGTAGAATATAGGTAGAAACCAATGTAAGGATATGACTTTATATACCTATATTCACAAGCTCAAAAGTACTCACAAAATATGTTTAAAACCATCACATAAACACTTTCAAATATCTAAAAGGTTTTAAACTCAAACACGAAGGATTAAGGGAATTTTGGAAAAATCAGAACAGAGTCACGGTACCCCTAGCGGTATGCCACACGGTAGGGTATACCCACGGTACCCCCATACCGTGTAACGGTACCTAGGTACCGACGGTAGGCGTAGACGGTTGGCCGAACCCGTCCTAACCAGGTACCGCCAGAGGCGAACTGAACTTTTGGATTACACAGACCCCCCTACCGTGAAGGGTACCGGATCCGTTACAGCACTGTAGCAAAATTGCCAATTTGAATTAAATCAACCCTAATCACCTCCCAACGGCTATTTAACATCTTCCACTATAAATACAAGCCTAATCCTTCATATTTCTTCAAGAAACAAAGCTCTAAACATCCTCTCTTTTTATTCTAAGTGTGTTCATCCTTTTATTAATTATTTTCAATATTTTGGCTATTTCAAGAGCCTTAAATTCCTGAATTTTATACACACACTTTGA